GGGGATAAGCTCTATTTTATATAAAGAATGAGAGAACTTACTTGGGGTTATAAAGTCAGATACACTTGCGTTAGCTGACAGAGCCATTGAGTAGTGTGAATGCTTTTCAGATCTTTCTCTTTATTGTATCACACAACTAAATAGTAAGGTGTTGTTAGCTGCCCTGGAATTCACCCCTAATTTATGCTAATCCCATGTAGAAAGAAATGCTGCACGTGTTGTGACCCATAAGATTTTCATTGTCTGATTTTCAGAAGTGGATTGCCAGGTTTTTCTTCCTAGTCCACCTTAGTCTGGAAGCTCTTCCATAACCGGTTCACCATCGTAGCATCAGGAATGCCTGTCCTGACATATCAATGGTGGCTACACAGGAGGTGCATTGGCCAGGAATTGAACCTGAGTATCTGACATGGTAGAAGAGAACTCTACCCTTGAATCACCAATGTTTCTCATAAGCACTGAGATAGAAAGACTCATTTCTGATTATGTGCCCCCTTTTATCTATTTAAAGTTGGATTCCTGGACTTGCACTGTAGGATCAAATGTTGGACTACTAACCACAAAGTTGGTGGTTCAAACCCACCAGCCCCATTCCTTGAAAACTCTATACAGGGTCATTATGAGTCAGAACTGACTCAAGGGCACTTATGAACAATAATATATTAAAATAGATGTGGGGGGCTAAGCGGATGGACCACCAATCATCTGTCAATTTGTCGTACTGTGGTGGCTTGTATGTTGCTGTGATTCTAGAAGCTATGCTATGGGTATTTTGAATAACATCTGGGTTATCCATGGTAGACAGGTTTCAGATGAGCTTCCAGATGAAGACAGATTAGGAAGAAGGAGCGATGAACTACTTCAGAATATTTAGTCACTGAAAACCTTATGAATAGCAGTGGAACACTGTCAGATGCAGTGCCAGAAGATGAACCCCTCTGGTTGGAAGACACTCGAAATGAGACTGGGAAGAGCTTCCTCCTCAAAGTACAGTTAACAGTGATAACACAAATGAAGTAAAGCCCTCAGGAGCTTCATTTGCTGATGGGGCACAATTCAAAATGAATAGAAACAGCTGTAAGCATCCATTAATAATCAGAACATGGAATATATGAACTAAGAATCTAGGAAAATTGGAAGTTGTCAGAAATAAAATGCAACACATAAACATCAATATCCTAGGCATTAGTGAGGGGAAATGGACTGGTATTGACCATTTTGAATCTGACAATCACATGGCTTACTATACCGGAAATGACAGATTGAAGAGGAATGGCTTCACATTCATCATCAAAAAGAACATATCAAGATCTGTCATGAAGTAAAATGTGTTTGTTATAGGATAATACCCATATGCTTACAAGGAAGACCAGAAAATACCACTATTAATCAAATTTACACACCAAACACTAATTTTAGTGAAGATGAAAGTAAAGAATTCTACCAACTTCTTCAGTCTGAAATTGATCAAACATGTAATCAAGATGTATTGATAATTACTGGCAATGGAAATGCAAAGGTTGGAAACAAAGAGGAAGGATCAATGGTTGGCAAATATGGCCTTGGTGATAGAACCAATGCTGGAGATCACAATAAGAGTTTTGCAAGACCAATGCTTTGCTCATTGCAAGCAACCAATGCTTTGCTCATTTTAAACAACATAAAATACAACTATACACATGGACTCACCAAATGGAATATACAGAAATAAAGTTGACTACATCTGTGGAAAGAGAGAGTGGAAAAGCTCCCTATCATCAGATAAAACAAGGCCGGGGCAGACTGTCACACAGACCACCAATTGCTCATATGCAAATTCAGGCTGAAGCTGAAGATAATTAAAACAAGTCCACGAGAGTTAAAATATGACCTTGAATATATCCCACCTGTATTTAGAAATCATCTGAAGAGCAGATTCGACACTGCAGACCGAAGACCAGAAGAGTTGTGGGATAACACCAAGAACATAAACAGGAAGAAAGCACACCATCATTAAGAAGACAAGAAAAAAGGAAAAGCCCAAAATGGATGTCAGAAGAAATTCTGAATCTTGCTTTCCATCATAGAGATGCTAAAGCAAATGGAAGAAGAGAGGAGAGGAGGTACAAGGGCAGAACAGTATTTCAAAGGTCAACTCAAGAAGACAAAATCAAATATTATTATGAAATGTGCAAATACCTGGAGTTAGAAAACCAAAAGGTAATAAAAGCATTTCTCAAGCTAAGGGAACTGAAGAAAAAAATTCAAGCCTCAGCTTGCGGTATTGAAGGATTTTCTGAGGGAAAATATTGAACGATACAGAAAGCATCAAAAGAAGATGGAAGGAATACACAGAGTCACTGTACCAAAAAGATACGCTCAATATCCAACCATTTCAAGAGGTAGCGTATCATCAAGCACCAATCATCCTGAAGGAAGAATTCCAAGGTGCATTGAAGGCATTGGCAAAGAATAAGGCAATGGGAATTGATGGAATACTAATTGAAACTTTTCAACAAACTAATGTGGTACTAGAGATACTCATTCATCTAGGTTAAAAATTTTGGAAGACAACTACCTGGTCAACTGACTGAAAGAAATCTGTATTTGTGCCCATTCCAAAGAGAGGTGACCCAACAGAATGCATAAATCATTGGACAAAATCATTGACATCCCATGCAAATAGTTTTACTAAAGATAATACAGAACGGCTGCAGACATACATTGACAGAGAACTTCCAGAAGTTCAAGCTGGATTCAGACGATGCGAAATGAGCAATATCCCTGATGACATCAAATGAATCTTGGGTGAAAGCAGAGAATACCAGAAAGATGTTTACCTGTGCTTTATTGACTAAACAAAGGCTTCGATTGTGTGGATAATGACAAGCTATGGACAACATTGCAAAGTATGAGTTTTCCAGAACACTTAGTTGTGCTCTTTAGGAACCTGTACACACTCCAAATGGTTTAATATTAGGAAAGGGTTGTATCCTTTTACTATATTTTTGCAATATGTATGCTGAGCAAATCATTTGAGAAGCTAGATTGTATGAAGAAAAATGTGGCATCAGGATTGGAGGAAGACTAACTAACAACATGAGATATGCAGATGATACAGCCTTGCTTGCTGAAAGTGAAAAGGACTGAAAATACTTATTGATGATGATCAATGACTATAGCCTTCAGTATGGGTTGCATCTCAATGTAAAGA